GAGTCCAACCTCGCACTGGCTGTATTGCGAAGAGTCTCCTTTTCAGCGTACGAGAAAAGAAACTTGTGTCTGCTTTTTAAATTCTGAAAACAAGCCAGAGTGGAGAAAAAAAAAGAGTTAACACCAGGCTTAATAAAGCTTTCAAGACAAAACCTGTTAAGCAATCTAGACAGACATGGTGAATTCCCTGCAGATTATTTTTTTGAAGTCTTGCACATACAGGAAATTGGTTAACAGTAGGAAGAAGCTGGGAGTTGCTACATAGGAGAGATCTTCCAAGATTACAAAAATTGGCTAAGTAGACTGTTCGGTATAAACTGCTCACTGGTCACTGTTGTCAGTGGTGCTGTTGCCCTTTTCTTTTTTCTCCTGAGCCTTGTTTCCCTTCTTCTTTTTCTTCTTTTTCTTGGTCTCTTCCTTCTTGCCAAAAGTTATGAAGTCACTTTTGTCAGTTTGGCTGTTTGGCGGATCCTGACGAATGGAGATGATTGCGGGAGATCCTGGGATAATGAATTTGTCTGGCAACTCACCGGGGCCAGGCTGCTTGGAATTGCCAGGTCCGTATTTAAAGGTCCAGCTGTTGCTGTTCACACCAGCTCCGACCGGAGGGGACACCTCGCCACCTTCAGGGTCTAGAAGAAGGAAATGCAAACATTAACATCTTACGGCAGAGACACGCAAGAGTGAGCCTGCTCCTTATAGTGTAACCATGCACTTTGGCTCATCTTAAATAAGGGTCACATCACACATAGGATTTTCCACAGAGACAGGTCATGTTTTCTAATTTGAAGAGAAATATTATATGCTTTGTGCTCTTTAAAAACATTGGAATATGAAAGGAACAAGGGATCGCATGCTAGATTATCTGGTCATGACAGCAGATGCCAAATTTAACATGATTTGGGTGGGGGTGACTTGAGTGAATGGAAAAACTGGAAATGTTTTAGTACATCCATACTATGCAACTGGGACATGACATGCATAGAATCATAGAACTGTAGTGCTGGGAGAGACCTTGGGAGTTACTAAATTCAACTTCTTGCCAAAGCAGGAAATCCGGAACTAAAACATCCTGGACAGAACTAACCTCTGTTTAAGAACATCCAATGAATGAGAGCCCACCATTTTCCAAAGCAGGCCAGTCCACTGATTGCTGTTACTGTCAAGAAGTTCTTCCTAATGTTTAGGCCCAATCTTCTTTCTCGTAACTCAAATTCATACTAACAGACATTTTCTGTGTCTCTAAGAACTTACAGTATAGATATGTGTCTAATTTCATATTTAATGAGCATTGCCTTCATGTACCTGCCAAAGTGGGACCTAGTTCATGGATGGCTACATCAAACTAGTTGCACTTTCTGTCACATTCGCTCTGCTATCCCTCATGAAGATTAATGGTGCTTTCTTTGAAATAAGTGGTTTTAAACTGCAAATGTTTGAGAGAATGAGAATGCAACCACCTGCCCTGCTGAAGAAAGTTCCTATGGCACACACAGGGTGGTGCTGGGGTATTTAGCCAGTTTATTGAGGGGCAAGTCATATCAAGAAATCCCTTTCACAGCATTAAAGGCCCTTTGTCATGATAACCTGAAGTCCTGGTCCTGCAGCATGAAGGGCAAGAAGAGAGATGTTAAATGTAGGAATGCACCTAATATGTCTTTGTTTTGTTATGTTATGGAGCAGAGGCTGTAGAGAGCAGAACCATGGCAAGCACAAATAACAACTTCCAGGGGAAAGACTAACTCCTCTGCTTCTACATAATTTTTGTAGCTCTAGCTTTTTACACACACACACACACACACACACACACACACACGCACCTCCATTAATGTGATTTAAATAACAGTAAAAACAAACCTATTCACACAGCGACAGTGCAATCTGCATGCCTACTGATAAATAAGTCCTGCTGAGATAAATCCATCCACCAAGATTGCAATTTTAATACATTGCATGTTTTAGCCTTAAAGCTTCCATCCTAAACATAGTGTCAAAAGAGTGAGATCTGTTGAGCATGCAGTATACATCCAAGCAAAGCATTGTATTGTACAGCAGTTTGCCTAATGAGTAGGTCAGTTATTTATTTTATATGGGCTGCAAAGAAATTTGTTCAGATTGCTGTATCTTAACAGGGAAGTGTGACATGTTTCTTTTGTTGTTTGGCACAAGCAATTTTTTAAAAAAGCAGACTTTATTACTATATGATTAATATGATCTGCATGGTGAAAATATATGTCTATCTACACATTTTCAATATTGAAAACAAGATTATTAGTTTATATTTTGTTAGGGCATACAATAAAGTTTGGTTTGTGTACTTCGTTGTGAATTATCTTTCTTCTCCATGTTCTTCATATCTGTCATCTAATGTTTTGCTTTTATATAGTACAAGCAATATATAAAGCTGACTTGACTTTGCTAATGCTTGCTTTTCTGGTAACTCCAGTATTCCAGAAATGTCTTTTAATACACAAGACTCTGTCATATATCTTTGGCCCTTTTCTTTAACTTAATTAAATATTTCTGACTGGGGACTGTGTATCCTTCTTACTTCCATTATCCCTCTTGCGACATTGGGATAATAAATCAGACATCTGAATGTTATGTTTCTTGGCCTAAAACAAATCATGATTCAATTCTCTCTCCTGTTGTACAAAATGGAAACTGTTACGTTCTGAATACTAAATGAACTCTGTCTGTCAGATAATAGTGCCTTTGTCCACAACCTCCCTAATTGGCAACAGCAACTCTGACCTAGATCCATAGCTTCTTCATTTCTGTGTCTGAAACGGATCAGGATGATGTGGTAAATGAGAAGGTGACAAACAGAAACAGAAAGCCATCAGCCACCACTGCTTGTTCTGTGCAATAGTTAGTAATAGTACTTGTTACTAAATCTCAGGATCACCTCAGAAAAAGGGTGCTTTGAATTTATCAGCAAGGTGGGACCAGGTGTACTATTAGTTGTTGCTTGCTGGCAAGCCATTGAGGGTGATCCACTCCACCCTAGTGTTTATGTGGTAAGTTTGTCTTCTTTTCATCTAGCAAATATGAGCAGTCACACTACCTACTTGCTATATAGAGAGGGAGGGTGAAAGGGGGGGAAAACAGCAGCGGTCTTACTGCACCCACAGGACAGTCAATCTTGGCTTTGTTTTCTCATTATGTCAGTTTGATCTATTGTTAAATCTGGAGATGGGAAGCAGACCACTAATGCCAAGGAACTATTTGTCCTCAGGCTTCTGTAGATATTTGTATGCATTTGTTCAGCAGGGGAGAAATGAGGAAAAGAAAGGGCAGTGACCCAGGATGGGAGATGCTATGAAAATCCAGTGAACCTACAGTTTGTAGGCAAAGCAGCTACCAACTTCCTGGGCCATCATTCCCCCTTTGCTGACAAGCTCTCCTCCTCTTTCGTTCAGGACCTGATAATGTGTAGGAACGGACGTTGGCTGGTGCCCTTTGCTGCAACAAGTACAAGTAAAAGTGACCGGAAGTCCAGCTTCAGTTTGCCAGAAAAATGTGTTTTTCATTTATAATAAGGCACACAGGAACCACACAACTTATTTCAAAGAAGAATCCTGGTCTCCTTGGAGACCTCCAGGAGTGTGATTCCCTTTGTTTATATTAAAAATAAATGAATAAAAATTGTGAGAGTAGGCAGAGCTCTAGTCTTAGGGGCTTGCCAAAATAGAGATGAGTGGATTTCAGACTGCAAGCAACCCGCAGTCTATGCCTTGCCCACTCTGTCATTAGTTACAGCATCCTAACCTACCTACTTACCATCCTGAAGGGTGTGCCAAAGGAAAGGAAGTGTGCCACCAAGCCCAGCTGTGCTATGGTGAGTGGGCAGCATATATGGATAGTACTATAAGATACATTTTTACACAGTCCTCCTCCCATGTGTAAGGATGGATGATGGCTAGCATCCTCTGCTCTAACAATTACAACAATGAGTTAATAGTTACATCACATCAGACATCCAACTGGGAGTTCAGACTAGAATATACAAAGTGGGGTGGAAAAGCCAATTTTAACATAGTAGCTGAAATCCTATTGCTTAGCATAATAAGTCCCACTAGAGTAGGCTGACTGACTCAGTGGAGATTTGGTGAATCAACTCCTCTATAAGTTCCATTGACTCAAAGGAGGCTTCTCTGGTTTCAACTTACTATACTAAGCAACAGGATTTGAGCCAATGTGTCAATTTGCATAATTTAATTGGGAAAAAAGCTGTGGATATATATGTCATCCAAACATTGATGTGCAACGATTATTCTCATCAAAAAAGTAACTTGTGGCATGCAATTCACTTAATTTTGGTCATTCTGAAAAAGTCAAATATAATTTAAAATATGAAATATCTTAAAATATGCCAGTTTTAAGCAGATACTATTTTGAGCCTTGAGACTATTTGGCATAATTTTAGAGCATCTGAGCTTGTGCTGTTGTTCTTTTGTTTCAGCAGGGTGGGTGCATAACCCCTTGCTGGATTCTGCCCAAAGACATTTCCTTGGCAGAGAATTGTGATGTTTTCTTTACAAACATAATACCTGCCCTGATTATAAAGATGCTCTTGTTTGAAGTGCAACCTCTGTAACCTTATTGAGTGGAGAATGGTTTTTGCTTGTAATCCATTTTAAATGAAGCGGAAGTAGAGAGAAGCCGACAATACAGAGTGACAGGTAAAAATAGCCCAAAACTGAGATGTCTCAACAGGCAGACAGGATGTCTACGTATTGAGCACAAAGCAATGTGTCACTCAGGCAGCAGTTCAGTACTATGGCAGCAGCAACACCAGATTGAAGAGTTTCTTCATCCTCCTCTTACTGACAGGGCTTGGAGGGAAGGGGGAGAGGCGTTCACAGTGTGTACATGCTCTTGTCTCTCCACACAGCCATGTACTTACAATCTGTCATTTCCAAGGAACAGGTGGAGGCTCACTCTGCATAATAAAGGCTAAATTATAAAGCGCCATGTTTTGCCTTTGCCTCATGTCTCTCCCTTCCCTTGCTTTAATAAATCTTTGTCATAAGAAGGGAAGCCTTTGTAAATGCAAGAGCATTTCAAGGAGAGAAGCTGTAGAGGCTCTACCAGGTAGACTCTGCTTCCCATGATAGTGATGTTTGAAAGACTTTTATGTATATTTGCGTGCCCTGACAGAAGCTTTTTCACATGAAGCCCCACCCACCTTTTCACTCACTGCTTGCTCTCTTCTTCTGTAGGGATTTTGGCACCTCGTTCTTTTACGAAGCTACGCAGCTAAGTGCTTTTACCTGAACTGTAACTCGAGTGAAATTTTCTTGGCAACTCTACTGTTCAAGCCATCACCAGAATCTGCTATGAATGGGACTTCTTAAGGGTTAGTGGAAAACAATGCCATTATGAAGACACAATAGTGGGAAGCAGGCTGGCAGGAAAATGCAGAGTCTGATTTATCTTTTTCCCTGTCTTTGTTCATTCTGGGCTGGCTTTAGCTTTCTCTTCTGGCTAGCATGATGAATATTCACAGTTACAGAGGAGCCCTACATTCTTCCGACTAATTCTGGATCAGCTAGCAGAGCACAAACATTAATGCATGCTGAGAAATGGGTGTACATGTGTGTCCCCCTGTGCTCTCTGGAATTTTTCT